AGCGTGTTTAAGATCCCGCTGTATAGTGCCCTTGATGTTCTTACTTTTAGCGGCCGCGACCGTTACTACTTCCATATACTTCATGGCGCTATCAACCAAGCGACCGGCCGTGTCACTATTGAGTACCGCCACGTCAATAGGTTAAATAGAATCCTTAACTGCGGATTCCCTAGCCCTATCCGCCTTTTTAAGAAGGGTATTGACTTTGTCGCTCAAGTCGTAATGCTCAGACTCGAGCACAGACTTCTTATACCGCTCCTTTTCTTTCGCCCATCCAATGTACTCCCCAGTGGTAGGAGGGCGACCAGGTTTTCTCTTAACTGGGGTCCCTTTAGGCGTCATAAATACGTCGCGCATACAGGGCGAGCTGCGACCAGAACGCGATCCCTCCGATCCGGAGCCAGAACTTCCGGGTTTTTGGCGCTTTCGCGCCACACGCTTTACTTGGGCAGTTTTAGGCTTTGAGTCATCGGACTCAATTGTTTCTAATGTGGCCACAGTAGAGTCAGAGGCCTCTCCATCATCGGTAGCCATATACCTTATACGACTATACGAGCCGGCGGGCGGTGTAGATAGCCGCGACGCCGACTCAAAAATATCACAGTTGGAGCCGTGCGGTGTAGAAGACCGCGACGGCATATCACAAGTGAGCGCTGAACGCTCGACCACAACTTTGCAGTCCTTGATTGGGACTGAACAATCCTTCGCTGGAGGTAAAAACGTGCCTTGCGACACGGAATAGTGGGCGCCCCCCCCCAGAAACGATGGGGCAGCTCGCCGCCGAAGCAGCGGAGAGGGATTCTCCACTCGCGGTGCAAGTAGTACCCTCCTGGGGTAGTGTATTCTTTCCGGCACTATTCATGTTTTTTGCCGCTTACGGGCGCGGCAGCCCAAAACTCCCACTCTGCGCTAGGGACCGAGACTACTCCCCCGGCCATCCAGCCCCTCGGCACGCTCCAGACCTTGGGCTTTGGAGGATTTTTTATTGAGGTTTACTCCTCTCAACCCGGACAAGAGCCCCGCCGGTCCCCGGCCCCTCAGTGGGGTAACGGGTTGCCCGACGTACCCCCGGAGTTCGGGAAATACGCCGCGCAGCCACATCCTGTAAACACTCCACGACCGTGGAGCGAGTCAGGAGCGGCGTTGGCCACTCCCCTGGGGCTTAGGGAGCAGCCGTGGCCCTGAAAAGTTATACACAAAAATAACAAAAATATACGAATACCTATACACAAAAAAGGTTCTAGGACCCAAATCGAAAATTATAGAGGCATCTCTCTGCTTAACACCTTAGCTAAAATGTTAGAGAGATTAGTCTATAATCATATATATGTTGTTATTTGTAAAGGCTTGCCTCATACCCAACACGGTTTTCTTCGAAGACGCTCGACAGTTTCCAACTTAGCTTGTTTCTCTGATTATGTGTACAAGTGTATGGAGGGTGGTGGACAGATTGACGTGATCTACACTGATTTTGAAAAAGCTTTTGATCGTGTGGATCACGTCATCCTCCTAAACAAACTCTATAGCCTTGGAATAAACGGAGATTTGCTTCGTTGGACGCAGTCTTATCTTTCCAAGCGGTCACAGGCAGTTGTGGTGGGTGGATTCAGGTCCGATTTTAATAACATACCTTCGGGTGTTCCGCAGGGATCGCACCTAGGACATCTTTTTTATCACGCGTATTTATTTGATATAATGTCGTGCTTTGAAAATGCCCATCACTTAATGTACGCCGACGACAAGAAAATCTTCTTTAAAATTAGAACCTTGGAAGATTGTAGATTGCTTCAATCGGACTTAGATCGTTTATATAATTATTACATCAAAAAGAAAATTAATTTAAATATTACAAAATGAGAACTCATTACATACACACGGAAACGTAACCCCATTTCTTTTACTTATACTTTTAATGGTGTGCCTATTACAAGAGTAGACTGCATGCGTGATCTAGGAATTATATTTGATCAAAAATAGGGCTTCCAAAATTACGGATATCTTAATTATGTAACTAATTATAAATTTTAATGGTCTAATTACGTAAATACGTAATTACGTAATTTCTGAGATATGTTTTAAATCGAATGTTTTCTTTAATTGATTAGGAAAAGGACAATGAAACATGTAAGAAAAAAATAATTACATACAGAAAAAGCTTTTATTTTAAATAAATCAACCAATCAATAAATAAAGTATCTGCCTATATTATGGCCTTATGAAAGTTATAGAAAAGAAACACTTTTTTACTTATTTCTTTGTTCTTGAAAATGAGATCTCATAAACGACAACGCATTTAGTGTTTTGTCGCTTAATGAACTTCTCAATTTACTACATAAATAATCAGAAGAATAAGCTCACTCTGCTTCAATACTTGTTGGAGTTATTGATAATAAATAATTATATGCTGCTGTTAGGTAAACTCCACGACCACCGCCAGCGCTGTCATAAATGCACATTTCCACTCTAACGATGGACTCAAGATCTGTTTTAATCGTAGATTTGTTTACTTTTGTGGATTTGCATAACTGTTTTTCTAATTCCTCGGCCACAGTTAACTCTTCGTCACTAGAGTCTGTAAGTGCCATGCTTGCTTGTCCTGGACTTTGACTTGTCTGTGCAGATGTTGAGTCAGTTGTAAATTTCAGCCTTTCTAATAATTTTGTAATATATGTCCTAATATAATCTGTCGTCGGTTTAATGAAAGTTTCTGTTTCTTCGGTTTCATAAAATTCTTCATTGTTATGTAAGGTAAAACACCCAATTATCGACACTTTAACGTCGAAATTCGAGCATTTTTCAAATATCTGGTTTGTTTATGATAAGACATGATTTTTTAATGCACTGGGTAACATTTTAGGGTTAATTCTATATTATTTTAAAGCAAACAGAAGTGTAATACTAATAACTTAGGAAAAAAAACAAGATAGTTTTAGGCTTTTTTTAGCCTAGTTATCGACAGCAAAATTCCATATATCTACACCCAGTAATCGACATGTTCCAATAATCGTGATCTAGTAATCAACATGTTCTATTTATCATCATCCAAATATCGTCCTGACCTCAAACACCATTCCCAAAAAAAAGTCTTATTCAGTATTTTAATCATTTTAATTAGCTAAATAAACAAACAAGGGCATGTTGGCATGTAATGCGTAGGTAATTTAAGAACTTAATAAACCTCTTTTATTGCATAGCATTGGTTTCGAAATTACTTTAACTATATCAGACTTTTGGTACCAGATTTTATCTTCTTTTTCCGACCACTTGAACATGTTACCCACCGAAAAGGCCATGGTGCTAATTTCAAATTTGTTTTTATCAAAAATTTTAATTACGCCTGGGAAAAAATCCCCTTCGTATTGGATTATAACATAATCTCCAATAGAATATGTTTTTGCTGGCTTGCCCGGTCTATTGGTAGTAAATGGGGTTGTTTTATTCTGGTCAATTATGAAACGTTGTACGCTATCGAGTAACTCATCTCTAGTGACGGGAATGTGTTTTTCAGCCATTTCAAGTATCCATTTTTCTAAAATAGCCTCCTCTACCGTTGAAAAATATGTTTTAGTGCCCATGGAACATTCACCTGGAGTCTTACCGGAAATCTTATCGTGTAATGTAATTTTGGGTACACCAAACTTTTTTTGCAGCAGTTGCAGTTTTCTCACCTTTTCTGACTGCTTCTACGGCCTGGGCCATTTGAAGAGGCATGTCATTTTTTTTAAGGGGGCCATGCCTGCAAAAAATGTCGGTTACTGGAACATGTAGACTAACATATAGAATATCCAATCATCGACATATCGTCTGTCGGTCATTGGAACGTATGGGATACCCAATCATCGACACGGCTGTCGATCATTGGAAGCAGTTTGAATATTTAAATGAAAGACCTAAATATTAAGAGTGCTGAACAAGCTTAGCTAAATAATATAATAAAGTGCACAAAATAAAATAAAAAAACATTTCGACATTTGTCGAAGATTGGAAAAAGCAAAAAAAAATCTCCAATTACCGACGGGCGTGTTTTAGCATTTTAATATAACCTTACCCTTCTTGTGAAATTATAAAGCAGTTGTGAATCTCTATCCTCATGTAATAAATGACTAACGTTTAAGATAAAGCAAAACCATTTAAAGTTATGAGCAATAAATCTTACTCACCTCCTTAGCGATTTCACTAATAAAACTGGATTTGGTTGGAGATCTACCGCGGTCGAAATATATCATTACGCCATTTTGTACAAAATTGCCGAAAATATGAAACATTATCAGCAATGACAGCTAGACAATCCTCGTCTATAGTTTACGCTTCAAATGTGTTCAGAAGTCAGAATATATTCTTATTTTTCTTTGTTTTGTTTTTTAATGTCGGACAATGGTGCCTTGTCGAAGATTGGGTGTTTTACCTTAAGTACTGTAAAATACCAGATACATTCGGTCGTCTTTCTTTTATTCTTTTTCTGAGGGAAGTAGCAAGCTTTTCACTGAGTTCGTTAGACTGACGATCAAGTTTATTTAACATAAACTGAAGAGCAGCGTCAGCCGTCAATAAATTTAAATCCCGGCGACACAAAGCCAACACCGTGGTTTTTATAACATCTAAACTATGATAAATATCATGCAGGTCTTGAATTTCTTTTTCTGTAAAACTCAAATTTGAATTTAAAGCCAGTAGTGCATTCGCAACACATGATTTTAATTTCAAAAACCGACCAATCATATCAGACAAGCTGTTCCACCGGGTCCTGAAGTCGAGTATAAGATTTAGGCTCTTTCTATGCTCTACCACAGAGTATTTTTGCATTAAGTCATTTTTTAAGGGTGACTTTTTAAAAGATTTAACCAAATCTCGTACTTTTTTTATAGTATCTTTGTATAGAAATTCAGTTTCTGGAATTCTTGGTAGTTCGAAATCAAATCCTCCGTAGTTTTCCTCAGAATCTTCAGAGTCATAATCCAGTTGATTATATTGTGTTTCTAGTTCGGGAGTTAACTGGTTCTGTGACTTATATAGCACGTCGAGCACCGCAAGTTGTATGCCGTGGGCAAAACACAATTGATGGTGACCATCAAATTTTTTTCCCATCTTAACCATCACACTGGCTCCGTCTGTTGTGAAAGCAATTATATCTTCAAGGCTAAGTTCAAAGTTGCTCAAATGTTGTTGAATTAACTGAGTTCCTACATCTGCTGGCATTGAACCCTGTATTTACACCAGCCCTAAATTTTTGTATTTAGTTGGCAGATCTTTATTGTGGATATTTATATTCATATACCTTTTATTTCGCGTAGAGGTCCATTCATCGAGTGTCATTGTGAACCTTTCGTTTTTGGACTTCATCTCCTTTAATAGATTTATCAGCGTTTTTTTTGTATTATCACATAGCTCTAAAACTATCTTAGTTATAGTTGTTGGCGATTTCGGTAGATCATAGCCAGATTTTTTGAAAACATGCCTTAAGTCAACAGAAGTGCAGAATTTGCTCAACGGGATACCATCCAATGCTGCCATTCTAGCCACTCTAATCTCCATGGAAGATTCACTCACATAATAATCGTGAGTTTAGTTTTCTTTTGGGATGGTACTTCTTGTAGGTCCCCTTTCCTTTTTTCGTGCATTTGAGCATTATCGGTTGTTGATGTAGAAGCTTGTGGGCCGTGTTGCACCTCAGTGATATATTTAGCCCGCAAGTGAGTATGTAATGCTCCAGTCGCACCACCAGGCGTTTTTAAAACTTTTTTACAATGCTTACACTCGACACTTTGTCCATCATCGGCCCTTAAAAAATGTTCCCAGGTTGAAGATGTTGTCCGTTTGTTTAGAAACTCCTTGTAAACTGTCTTCATCATTGACGACCTAAAACAATTACAACAATTTAATTAATAACTAGCTTACCACCCACGGGCCACTTTCCAGGTCCTAACTAAATCTATGCAATAATCTTATTGAACTGTTGTCCTGGTATAACGTAAAAGGAGGACAAATATATAAACAACACTAGAAACTAACTGAAATGAATAATTTTGCCCAAAGTCTGCTTCACCTGCTCGTTACTAATTCTGTACCTACATCATCTTTGCCCTTTCATGCTAAATGTGGCTTTGAAACACGTATATTAAGCTAGCAGACCATGGTCGCAACGCGCACATCTAACCTACTGGGTATTTAGTTGCTAATTAGTTACACTATTCCCGATTTAGTTGCTCAACACCTGTAAAAGATACATGCGATCTGCTAGCTTAAGTCTTAACCTAGCAGACCACAATACTGTGTGTACTGTATACACACTACCCCCGAAATACGAAAAATTTAAAAAGGGCTCATCAGAGAATATAAACTACGGCGTATTTCGTTGCTAATTAGTTGCTGCAAAATAGCGTTGCTTATAGTATTTAACTATCAACCCTTAACTCCAAATCAGCACTGCAACCACCCCCGAATAGGACGATATCGGAAAATTCTCGTAGGTGGAAAAAGACGCGGCATATTTAGTTGCTAATTAGTTGTTTGCCAAAAACGCAGTTAAGAGTATTCTACAATCATCCCCTAACCTTAGATGCAACCCCTCTACTCACTTAGAAACAGTAGATGGTTAAAATTCGCAAGCAGTTGTTTAAGACTGCTGGATGTTTTGTTGTTAATTAGTTGCTGAAAAATAGGGTTTGCTTATAATATTTGATTATCAACCCTTAACTCCAGATCATCCCTGCAACCACCCCAGAATAGAACGATATCGGAAAATTCTCGTAGGTGGAAAATAGACGCGGCATATTTAGTTGCTAATTAGTTGCTCGCCAAAAACGCAGTTAAGAGTATTCTACAATCATCCCCTAACCTCAGATCCAACCCCACTACTCACTTAAAAATAGTAGATGGTTCGAATTCGCACGCAGATGTTAAAACTGCTGGATATTTTGTTGCTAATTAGTTGCTCGCCAAAAACACAATTAAGAGTATTCTACAATCATCCCCTAACCTCAGATCCAACCCCTCTACTCACTTAAAAATAGTAGATGGTTCGAATTCGCACGCAGATGTTTAAAACTGCTGGATATTTTGTTGCTAATTAGTTGCTCGCCAAAAACACAATTAAGAGTATTCTACAATCATCCCCTCACCTCAGATCCATCCCCTCTACTCACTTAAAAAAAGTAGATGGTTCGAATTCAAACGCAGACGTTTAAAACTGCTGGATATTTTGTTGCTAATTAGTCGCTGCGAAAAAGCGTTGCTTATAGTATTTAACTATCAACCCTTAACTCCAGATTAGCACTGCAACCACCCCAGAATGTACTACAGAAGATGTAATACAGAACCGCAGCACATTGTAGAGGCCCTTGCTGCAGAGGGCCACACATGCGAACACATCAAACGCATCCGGGCACGAGCCGGCCGCCCCGGCTGTATTTACTTCGCTGCAATAAAGAGATCGCCGTCGACCATCCCGGCCATCTACAATATTAAAGAACTTTTGTGTATGACAGGAGTGACACTAGAAGCCTGGAGGGGGAAGAAGGGCCTGGCACAATGTCACCGGTGCCAAGGGTTCCGGCATTCCTCCAAAGGGTGCCATCGCCCGCTCGCGTGTGTAAGATGCGGAGCCCCGCATGCCGCCGCTGACTGCCCGCGACCACGGTCGGAGCCCGCGGCCTGTGCAAATTGCGGCGGGCCACACCCCGCTAACCACACTAGCTGCCCGACTTTTAAAAAAGAGACACGAAACCAGACCGCGTCTACGGTGGCCAAGACCGGCCCTGTGACGAACGCAACGGTCTCCCGTCGTGAGGTAAGCGAATCCACCCCGGCCACTCTAATGGCACCGGCAAACGACCCGCCCCCGCGACTGCAGACTGCAGACTGCACCGCAACTGCAGTCAACCGCCGCCGCCGCAAGAAAAGTGGACGTCGCGGCGCAGTCAAGAGCGACGACAAGACCCTCTCCACTGCCCCCCCGCCACCCGCGCCGACACCCGCGCCTACACAGGCGCCGCAAACTGTACCGGCCGACGCAATAAGTCAACTGCTCGCAATGACTGAGCAGCTCCAAAAATGCCTTCGCTTACTAACGCCACAAAATTCGCAGCCTTGAAAATAGTACACTGGAACGCACAGATACTCACCGGGAAGCGACGGATGCTGCTGCAATTTCTGCAGGAGCACAGAGTAGACATCGCCCTGGTGAGTGAGACGAGACTGGCCCCTAATACTATTTTCAATTTACCAAACTACATTATCTACAGACAGGATGAAGCAGCGCAAGCGGACGGACGCCCCATCAGAGGGCTGATGGTGATAGTCCACCGCCGCGTCATTCACCAGCCTGCTCCTCCGGCGCGCAACTCTACCTTACGCGCCCTCGGTATTGATATACTTCTAGGTGACTCGAATGTACGAGTGTACGCGATCTACCGACCGCCGGGCACAACACTGGACATTAGAGAGTTAAGAGAGCTTTTATACCCGCTACCAACCATTTTGGCAGGCGATTTCAATGCCAAGCACACAGCCTGGCACTCACACAGCTGTAACTCTACCGGCCGCCGCATATACCAGGATGCCCTAGACCAAGACTACGACGTGTCGGGCCCTTCAGAGCCGACGAGACACGACCCAGCAGGACGAGTGGACGACGTCCTGGACATCCTGGTACATAGAGGGATCACCGCCATAATAGAGCAAGAGGTAATGTTGGACCTCCCATCCGACCACCGCCCCGTGCTATGCACCTTACACAGCTTACCAGCCCGCACGCCGCCACCCACCCAGCGAACACGCATCGACTGGGACACATTCCAACAGTCAGCAGTGTCCCACACGTCAACTCGACCTATCACTACCCCAGCAGATGTAGAGACAGCAACGAGTGAGTTAACAACTGCCATCCGCACTGCAATTTCCTCGGCGACACGCACCCACTCCAACTCTGGAAGGACACCATCCATCCCAACCCACATAAAAGATCAGATCGCCGAGAAACGTAGAGCCCGCCTAAACGCACTGAACACGCAGGTAAAGCGCGCGCTAGAGGACCATGCAGCAAAAAAATGGGACAGCTACCTGCTGAGCGTAGGCGATGACATGCCCTCTGCTCATCGCTTATGCAAGCAGCTCGCCAATAACAAGAAAATAACACCCCGCCCCCTGATCAGCGAAGACGGCAGCCCGCGCTATCGAGCGGAGGACCGCGTCGAACTTCTAGTGGATCACCTGGCTAGCCTCTTTACGCCAAACGAAACGACGGACAGTGAGCACGTTGAGACCGTGGAATCTCACGTGATTAGCTGTACGTCGTTTCCACTAGCAGCAGACATCGACCCAATTTTCTTCACACCACGCCAGGTACAGCGAGAAATTATGAGGTCCAAACCACGCAAGGCACCTGGCCCGGACGAAATAACTAACGCCACACTCCGACACCTGCCGCCAAAGACAATTGCCGTGATCACAAGATTGTACAACGGAATCTGCCGCACAGGCCACTTTCCCACCTCCTGGATAGAAGGTAGAGTGATATTAATACCAAAGCCGGGGAAGAACCTGTTGCTGCCGAAGATAACGCCGCATTTGTACCCACGTCCGGAACAGTTCGGATTTCGCACTGGCCACTCTACCACACTCCAGCTCACGAGAGTGCTTCACCATCTCGCAACTTGCTTTAACAAGCGCGAATACACAGCCCTCGTGATGCTGGACATGGAAAAAGCATTCGACAAGGTGTGGCACGAGGGACTACTGTTCAAGCTATCCCAAACCACCCTTCCACTCCGCATCATGAGAATCCTGAAATCCTTCCTCACCGATCGCACTATACACGTGGCAGTAGAGGGAGTATACTCCTCCACACGACATGTACTAGCAGGCGTCCCCCAGGGCAGCTGTCTGTCACCCCACCTATACGCAACTTACACAGACGACGTCCCCGTCCAAGGGGACGTAAAACTTGCCTTATACGCGGACGACACTGCTTTTACGCGTCGTCCATCCGCCCCGCCCACGCAGCTGCAAATATCCAGCCCACGCTCGACGCGCTGGAACCCTGGCTGAAGAAATGGCGCATGCGCGCCAACCCTAGCAAGACGCAGGCCATAGTAATCGGCCTTCATAAAGAAAATCCACCGCAACTGAAATTCCTAGGTCAAACAATACCCTGGGCCCCATACGTAAAATACCTAGGAGTTACAATAGATCGCCGCTTAACATTTTGCAAACACACAAATAACATCATAGCGCAGACTAAGGGAGTCCGATCGCGACTGAAACCCGTCCTCAGTAGCCGCCTACCTCTCAAGACTAACATACGCGTCGCCTGCTTGGTACGCACTGTTGGCAGAAGCGCAGCGGAAACGCCTCCGCGCGCAACAACACGTTACACTACGAACCATTACCAATGCGGGCCGCTATGTTAGAAACGCCACCCTACATCGCGACTTAAAAACAGAGCCGCTAGACGAGTTTATTGAACGTTTAGCCCGCGAAATGTATAGCAGAGCGGACGCCTCGACACACGAGCACCTGCGAGGCATCGCGCCCGTATACGAGCGAACCTATCCACGCCGCGACAGGGCTCTCCCACGAGAGATAGCCCCACCAGACACGACGCCATCAAACTCCCGCCCGAATATATATAAAAAAAAAAAAACATCCAACCTAGACCGACACACACAAGCATCCTAACAACTAGAAATCAACACATATCATGATAACCAGCCCCCCCATCAGTCCACCGCCTGCTCGCTGGTCGTTCACCGGGCCTCCCTCAAAAGGGTCTCACCCGGTGGGCAAGACCGCGCCGAGGGCGGTGGTGAAGACGGAGGGGGAGAGTGGACTCCAAAGACCGCTCTGCATGAGGCAGAG